ATTGGGGGGGGAGGGGGGTTCTATGAGGAGAATTTATCAAAACTGGAGCAGACAAAATCTGGAACAGCTGTGCATGGAAACCAATCAGCTTCTTTATTTCATTTCAAATCCTAACTATACAAACTGAAGAGAGAAGCTGATTGGTTGCCATAGGCAACTGCTCCAGATTCTTCTGCTCTAGTTTTGATAAATTCTCCTCATTCTGTTTGCTATCTGGGTCCTACTGGGTAGATTGCACCTCATTACTTGTCCTTGTAACACTCTATCCCAACCTATTTATAAATCCCTCATTAAATCCCTATTTATGAAACTGATATTTTGTTTGTCGCCTGTGTTCTGTGACTGGTGGCAGTGCCATGTGAGTACACAAGGCACACTCCCTAGGTGTTGGCAAACTGGAAGTGCTTAATGATTTGCGGTACAAGACACATGTCATCTAACATAACTTTGGTGGATATTTTGGGATTTCTTCAAGGTGTATTGGTATTCTTGTTACTTTTAGTTACAAGTTAAATTAACCTTTAAAGTGACACTAAACTCGGGTGTTAAATCTTAAATTTTTATTAAAGTACTTGAATGTATCTTATTTGTGTATCACTCAGCTGTAGATCCTCAAATCATCTCTGAATTGGTGCTGACACTGTCCTTCCTTCTGGAGGGGGGCTACTTTTGTTCCCCATGGTCCCTGTGTGTGTTGTAAAGTAGCCACCGCTCCAAGCTCACTCCTGTGATGGACTACAATCTCAGTGCAAATTATTTAGCTAAACATGATGTAGTCCATCACAGGAGTGAGCTTGGTGCGGTGACTACTTTACAACACGCACAGGGACCATGGGGAACAAAAGTAGCCCCCCTCCAGAAGGAAGGACAGTGTCAGCACCAATTCAGAGATGATTTGAGGATCTACAGCCGAGTGATGCATATATAACATACCTTTTGTTAATAGCTAGGGTACTTGAATGAATGTTTAAGATTTAACTCCAGAGTTTAGTGTCACTTTAATTTGATTTTCATTCATTGCCATCTGATTATTGTCTGCCAGTAAGTGGCAATTAGGCAAAGTGTGTATAAACCCCGAGGAATCCACAAAGAATCATGTTATCAGGATGCAGTTGTCGTCTACACGTGCACAGAAGGTAGTTTGGAATATCTATCACCCAATGAGTTTGTTATGGCATTCATATGTGAGACAGTCATGAGAATGCTGCCTGTCCATGAACTCAGTGGTTCATGAATGTCTTTTGCTTGGTAACATGCAAATGGGCAATAAGTAAGTTCATCTACATGGCGGTTCCAGTCATTGGGTTGTTATAGGATTTTAGCATGCAGTAGTAGATCTCCTCACTTCAATACTTCTTCCAGTTCAGTGACTATAAGAAGATAGAAGGTATTGGATCTGTGTGGAAGCCAGACCACTTAAATTTTTAGGAAGAAAGGTCATCAACATATTCCCTCAGTACAGATTTCATTCCTACGGACTGTTTAGAATGAACCCAATCATTGCACTGTTGTGGCTATACCATTTAATGCATCGTTTGCTTTGTGCTGTTTTCAGTGAAACAAACTCTGATTGTCAGTAAACAAAGGTAAAATATTTCTCACTTTGGAGACCTTTATGACTTCCTGTCATTAAACAGGACTGTACGTATGTCTTCTGTGAAATGTGTTTAAGGGAACATCTCATACTTGCATACCTGTGACACAATTTTAGTTTGAGGGCAGGGCATTACGGAGGTTGTATTATATTTTTAGTTTCAGGTGTTGTGTTTGTCATCAAGGGTGTGCCCTTCATAAAGCCTCTGAAGTCATGAAATACCTGATACTGCCTCTTACGTACTACATAATTCTATATATATGCTGTTCTATTTGAAGTGCGTGTATGCAAGCCGTTTGCTGTAGCACCGTGGCTGAATCAGCCTTGTGGTCATTATTTGTTTTGTGGAACTCATCCAGGTATTTACACCTCAATGACCACATTTATCACATGTAATCACACTAAAAATAACTTATAAAGGATCTCGGCACCATACACTGTTTTTGTTTTCTGTCAATTTTGTACATAGTGATTCCACAATACAAAGTAAATATGTTAAGCAATCCAGTCCTTATTCATATGGATTTGCTTTACCCAGGTAGTGAAGTCTGGTACCAAAGTTTGTGTAGCAGCACCTCTAACTCTTGGGTGTTTGGTCTGAAAATATCTGCTACTGTGCAAATGTAAAGCTTAGGTTAGATTCTTTAAAAAACTTTCATGCGAAAGAATTTTCATTCCACTTTCTATTTGTTGATGAGTCAAATCGACGATCGCTTTTCGACCGTAGTGACCAAAAAACTTGGAGTAGGATGGGAAATTTTTCGCTAACAAAATTCTGACAGTGAATGTGGTTTTCGTTCAGGAAATTCCATTCCAAAATTGAGTTAAAATCAAATGAGATTTTGATTGACATTCATCAAGTGTCTGATGGCATTATTGGGTGATGAAAGATCTTTCGTACAAATGTTCAGAAATCTACTAGAGCAGTGGTGGCGAACCTTGGCACTCCAGCTGTTTTGGAACTACAAGTCCCATGAGGCATTGCAAGGCTCTGACAGCCACAGACATAACTCCCAGAGGCAGATGCATGTTGGGATTTGTAGTTTTGGCACAGCTGGAGTGCCAAGGTTCACCACCACTGTACTAGAGTATGACCAGCTTAAGGGCCAGGTTCTTTACTCTCACACTACCAAGCTTGCCAAGAACATTTTGACCTTTTTGGGAGGCTGAATGTGCCTTTTTTGGAAGTTGAATGAATAGTCACTTTTTTTTTTTTTTTTAGGTTTAGAGATGTTGTATAATTTTTTTAAAACTTTAACAGCTCCTTATCAGTACGGAGGTTGCCAAAGTCCTTCTGCCTTGGCACAATTTCTTGTCAGCTATTTTGGGACAGAGGTAATTATCTTTCCTACAGCCTCCCTCAGGTTTGTGACATCTGGCGGGTGGTGGAGGAGTTGGCTCACTTTGTGTACTTGTAGTAGGATAAATTCCATCCATTTTTAGGGTGTAACATAAAGCATGACCACCCCTATTTTCCTATGCTGCTGTGCATTACTCTGCATGCAGCCAGTTTGTGCTTTCCATGCCTGTTTGTGGGGTTTATTGGGTCTCCTTGGTTTTCCAAAGCCTTTGTTTTCATAGTCCCTTGCAACCCGCACATGAAATGGAACCTGGCTTAGTTGAATAGCTTTATAGAGTAACAGTCCGGGAATGCAGGCAACTTTTGGTGCCTTCAGATGCATGGTAGTCTTCAATTCGATTCTGGTGTTCCTGTCGACTTTTTTTTTTTTCCTGGGATTGAAGGCCATGGCTATGGGGCCTTGGCTTTTGCCCAAGTCCAAGATTAAGCCTCTTCTGTTTTTTAACGGTCAACTATCATGGCCTCAACTGATCACTAAAGCTCTGACAGTTCAATAATGGGGTGGGGTTTGCTGGTGGGCTTAGGAGCCCAGGGGCTCCTCAGGGACAAAATAAGCAATTTAAAGACTGATGTGGGTAATTCATTATGGCAATCGCACACATTAGTATTACATTTTCGCTCAGGAAAGCATGTGTTCTATCAAAATTTGTGACCGCGTTAGAATGTGTGACCGGTGACGTGGTTACACATTTTCCCGCCCAGTTTTTCAGCAGTGGAATATGTGACGGGCAAAAGGTGAAGCATTCCAATGCTTTCTCAGCTGTTCCAGGGCACATCGGCATCACGGATCATTTGTGCAGGGGAACCGATCTGCCCGGAAACAGCTGATTGGTCATGAAATGTGACTTTGTGACTGATCTCATATTCCGCAAAGGCCGATAGAAGTGACCTTTCATGACCAATCGGCCTTTGTGGAATATGAGATCAGTCACAAAGTCACATTTCAGGACCGATCAGCTGTTTCCGGGCAGATCGGTACCCTTGCACATACGATCTGCGATGCCGATCTGCGCTGAGAAAGCGTTGGAATTCTTCACCTTTTGCCGGTCACATATTCCACCACCGAAAATGTGGGTGGGATTACGTTAAAATGTGTGACCTCGTGATCGGTCACGCATTCCAAGCCAGTCACAATCTTTGATAGAACAGCCTGACCTGGAGAATGATGGTTTTGAACTTGCAGAAGTGTTTGTCATAACGGCCAAACACAATCTTCTGCTTTTATGGTTCGGTTTCTCAGTTCACCCGTTCCTATTCAAAGGTAAACATGTACATGCAAAGTGACCAGTCTGGTGTGTCTGTTTCTGCAAACATTGAAACTATGACATTGCTTTTTGTTGACACTACCGCACAAAGGATTTAAAGGTGACCTTAAAAAGTGGCTGTAATTATGGACCTTCTATATCTCGGAATGTAATGATGTAAACTTGTCAGCATTGGACTTGATTTTGCAATGCCCTGAATTATGCTCAAAGTCTAGTACGATGTCCACTTACTACAGCCAAAGGGAAAATAATACTTTTATAATAAAGCAGAATAAGGATTGTAGTACTCTGGGTTATATTTAGAAATATATGAAGCGTATAGTATCCTGTTCTTGGATCCATATTTTTTCTAAGAGGTATGCTCTGTTTCTCAGATCAGGCCAGGACTGGTTACCTTGATGAGACCGGTAGATTTCTTGAAAATGTAATTTTGTACATTGGAAATCCAAGACGGTTATTCAATTTTTGAAGAAGGGAATTGATCAAAACTGGAGCAGACAGAATCTAGAGCAGTTGCTCATGGCAACCAATCAGCGTCTCTCTATTTTGCTCAGGTAAGATTTGAAAATGAATGAGAAGCTGATTGGTTGCAGTGCAAATCTGCTCCAGTTTTGATAAATTCTCCCCAGTGTTTTTTATGATGTTCTATAATATGTGCACAGCCTTTTTTTTTTTTTTTTTTTTTTTTTTGCTCCAATTGGATATGGACATTACCATGTGATTTATTTTTTTTCCCTTTTTTCTTTCCTGACTTGCTAATTGCATTCTTCTTTCCATCTAGGTGGTATCCCCTAACATCTAAGCCTGGGAAGAAAGAGAAGGAGCGTGGTCAGATAGAAGTGGAGGTCCAGTTCATGAGGAATAACATGACCGCTAGTATGTTTGACCTCTCCATGAAGGACAAATCCCGCTCAACCTTTGGCAAGCTCAAAGACAAGCTAAAAGGAAAACGGCCGGATGGTTTACCGGACACAGCGTCTGCCATTGTTCCGAGCATGAATCAGTACAGCGATGAAAGCGATTCAGAAATGCCCGAGGCAGAAAAGAAGAAATCTAAGCTAAAAACATTGTTTTCTAAGCCAGGACTGAAGAAGAACTCGCTTTCTCAGTCCATGTCTGTCCTTCCGACTCTTCCTCCATCCCCCTCTCAGAGAACTGTACTGAAGCCTGGCGACTTCTCATCTGACTTCAAGCAAACTTCAGGATCTCCAGTGTCAGAGAGTGAGTACTTGAGTTGTATTGATGATACCAATTGTGTTTTAGCAAATCTACTTGATGGTAAGTAGTGTAAAGCCTTTCGCAATCAGGTATCCATAGAGGAAAGTATAATATTTCATGTCCCTGCGGTAGATGGTAAGGTGCCAAAAATGTAACTTTTATCTAAAAAAAACTTGACTTCCCTATCTGAATCAGGCTAAAGTGGTGGTTTGATTATTCTGTTGCTCCTTGCAGTGTTAGTATAGAAAGCAGCATACTTAAGAGGAAGAATAAGGGCAGGCATTGTGCCAGGGTGGTCATTATTTATTGTAAGCCTACAGTTCCAAGCTCTGTTTCTCTCCTCCTTCCTCTGAAGTCTTCTACCTGGCTCGGCTGCCACCATAAAGCACTTCGAGGATGTAAACCTGGCTCTCCAAATGCTGTCTGGGTTTTTTTTTTTTTTTTAAAGCTATATGTTCCTCTTTAAAGAGGTATACACTTCTATTTGTTCCTTTTTAAAGCTGGCCATCCCACTATAGATTATCTGCAGATTTTCTATGGTCAGATGGAAAAAGTGCAACAGATTCCTCCATCTATGCTAAACTGTGTGCCAAACTTCAGTATCTTGCTAGGCGGCCCCGCTGGCTCTCTCAACACCTGAACAATGCCAGCATCCAATCAGATTGTTCAGGGATTTTCACAGCCAGAGGGGCTGACTAGCAAGATACTGAAGCTTGGCCCAGCGGGAGATTCCTCCATACACACAGTTTAGCGTAGATGGAGGAATCTGTTGCACTTTTGCCATCTGACCATAGAAATATGCAGATAATCTATAGGGGTATGGCCAGCTTAAGTCTCCCGGCTAATTGATCTATCAATATACAACAGAGTGACCTAGAGCGAAGTGTCAATCTGCTGCTTCTACTTTCATTAAGTTGGAGGAACTGAAGGAGGAACAACCGTTATGACCTGGACGAAATCTACAAATACTTTTAAATCTCCCATACTTGTTCAGGTCGGACTCGAATATGGAAGGTTGACAGGCCAAAAGATTAGCATATTGAGGAGGTCAGCAATGGCATTTACATAGTTCTCTCACTACATGTTTTGTTTAAATGTATTTTTGGTTTCATGTACCTCTCCTCCTGTATGGAGCTCATGTTTATGGCACATGCAGTAAGTCTAATTTTAAAAGTGTATTGTTTGGTTCATCTTTTCCACAATTAAACATGAAATCCTTTTCTTCCACTTCAGGACGATTTCCTCACATTCCAATAATTGCTCACAAAAGAACAGCCAGCGCAGACACCAAGCAGTGGAATCAGATCGCATCAGGAAACAAGAAGGAAGGACTGTCTCTTTTCAGTGGCTTGAAGCCCAAGAATGACCCAACCAATCGATCCAACTTGTGCATCAATGGCAATCACGTGTACATGGAGGAGTCTGAAACAAGAAGTGACAGTTCCAAGGAAGGTTCTGTTACCAACTCCCCACAGATCTCCCGTAAAAGTCTACTTTATGCCTCGGCTGAGAACTTGTCCTTCAAGCCATCCAAGGAAACTGTAAATGCGTCAAGCAGTAATGAAGGGGGGTTGACGTTTTCCATTTCTAATTCTTCCCTCAAGTCTATTGAACAGCCTGCAACACAAACCCCTCAGGTTGAAGAGCCACGATCAAAAAGTCCTCCATTATCCTCCAATGTCTCAAAAGACACCAAGGAGAATAAGAAACCGGAAAGCAAGAAATCTTCCTTATTGTCATTGGTTACTGGGAGAAAGGAAACGCCCAAACCAGTGGAAGTTGAACCGCTTCCTGATGTCTCTTCGAAGAAAGAAGAACCCAAAGCAACTAGTGGCCAGCGTCCTACAGAAGCAACCAGCAAAAAGTCCTCAGTGAACCCCTTTGAGGAAGAAATGGTAGAGGAGAAGAAACCGGCGCCTATGCCTACTGAAAGAAATGCAAAAACCTCAGCCGTCAAACCCAGGTTTGTAAAACTTTGTTTTCTATGTGTTTGTGCAAGTCAATGTGCAAATGCTTTACCGGAAGAGTACCTGACCTGGAAGTAACATTGACCTGATGTTTTTCAAGGTTTTTGTTTGTGTGGATTCTACTGCTTTCTCTCTCTTTACTAAACTGCAGTCAGAATCCCACCTTAACTACAACTGAAACTAAAGGATACGTCACCTGAAAATGATACTGTGATCAGTGAATTATAAATGTTGGACCAAGCTCCAATCCTTACTCTGATAGGAGGAATAGAAAAGCACAGTCACTCTGCAGTACTAAGCAGGGAGAACAGATTGCACTTCTAATCGATTCATGTTTGCTTCCATGTATGCAAATAACACTATATGGAGAAACAATCCTTAAAATTAGCTTAACTCACAGCAGATACAAGATACCTAAATTGGTGCAGCCAGGTATTAATCACTCCTTTATTTATTTAAATTTTAGCTAGAACAGGACTGGACAAATCCCAGGAGCCAGGTAGCCAATGCTCCTTAAAAATTAGAGTTGGTGTCTAGCCTTTAGCTTTTCTTTAGTTGTCAGTAGAGATGGCTCCTTAAAAGAAGAAAACAAATCTTGCTGGCTTCTGGAGTTCATCATAATTTGCCCATCCATGAGCTAGAGCAAGTACCTGAATTTGATTAGGTATCTGCCTCTTGCAATCTGCTATACAGCAGGACCCAGACTGGGAGCCACTCAGGTGTGTTGCATGCAAATGTGATGGCAAGTAACCTGCTGAGACGAGTGAGCACAGACTACCTAGGGCCAGTGCTGCCACTAGGTAGCTGACTAGGGCGCACTGCTGCCTAGGGCACAGCCTAGACCACTCACCCCCCCATGGCACCCCACGGTCTATTTCAAATTGCAAAAGCCAATAGCAGGCTGGCTATTGCACCCTCCCACTGAGCAGAGAAGAAGAACTGAGACAACTTCCTCCCTCAGGTCCGCTCCTCTGCTCAGTGGGTGCGTTTCAGTGGCCAGTCTGCTATTGGCTATTTCAAATTAAATGACATCCCCCTGTCGCCTGCAGAAGCTAGCCGGCAGGAGAATGGGGCTGTGCAGTGTGGGGGGGATTGGGGGTTGCGCCGCGGGAGGAGGCCTGGGGGGTAGAAATAGCTGGTCTTTCCTAGGGTGCAAAATATTCTAACACTGGCCCTGCTCATCGGTCTTCTGCTGCTCCTTTACTGTCCAATCAGCAGGCTGCCATTGGGGAGGACAACACTGTACACCTTTCCACAGTTGTAATATGAAGGGTGGTGCCACCCACCTGGCTCTGCTCGTCAGGGCTATGTTGTTCTTGGTACTGGATGGTCAGAAATACAGAACCATTGGCGGCGGGTAAGATGGCTCCCATAGAGGCATTTCATCTGTGTATTTAGATGTTTGCCTTCAGTTCAGCTTTATCCCCCTTGACTGCCAATAACGTGTTCCAAACCTCATTGTAATCAAAGGGCTAAAAGAAAGGTGCGAGCGTGTTTTAGTTTTGTTCAGCTGCTGTCGGTCTTTGACAAGCCTTGGCAGCAAGGATTTGTTATTGATCCCTACCTCGGTCTCTGTAAAATGAGAGGAGGCTGTGTGACCAGGCCCAAAGCGTGATACTAGGAGCCGGTGTCTGCTTTGCCACAACTATGGATGGATGTTCAGATGTCCTGCGTCTTTAACACCTTATAACTTACTAACAGGAATGTGTTTTGTGATGAGCGATAGCAGTGTTATCTCTCCTGGTGTTTGGCATGTGTGGTTAATCATTCACATTGGTATGAAGTGGCTAGGCGGAAGGCCAATGAACACACCCAGCTGCTGTTTTGTTGTGCTGGTTTCTGTTAACCCTCTCCAGGAATGACATTGCTGGTATCCCCCAGTCCACACCTTTTGTCAGTCCTATCAGTTTAGATGGTAACTTGGGGCTGTGAATTACCTGCTGGTTGTGGGTAAGGATAAACCGCAAAATATTTGCTTATATAAAATTGTTATAGGTACATTTTCTAGTAAGCTGTGCCCCCACAATGGTCGAGCCTAAAGCTGGCCATTCATTGTTGATGTAAAACAGTGGGTGGCCCTGCCAGCTCAACATTACTCAATTGACTTATCACAGGAGCTGAGCAAAAAACTGTCAGCTGAACATTGATTGCAGCCAATCGGCTGCATTCACATGTTCCAATATTCTGACACTGTCAGAATAAAAAAAGCCTGAAGAGGAAAAGGGGGGGGGGGCAGCGGCGTACCAGGTCACCAAAGTAAGAAGCACTTCTCAGTGGTCAGCGGGAACATGCAGGGACCGTGCTGACCGATAAGTACTCTAGCAGTATGAGCATTCCATGCTGGAGGAGGTGGCGGGGTGCTGTCTGTGTGGTGTGTGGGGTTTTTTTTTGTGCAGCGTGATACAGCATGGTAGAACTGCAGTGCACCACGCTGTGCCAATAGAACATCATGAAATGTGACTCGTGACATTTCAATAAAGTTCTTTTAAAAAAAAGTAAACTGCCATTTCAGCAGTTGCATCGGCACAATGCCGGTCCTTGCACACCAGCACACGTGCGTTCAATGCAGCTTGCTGGTGTGAATGGACCCTAAAGATGGAGAGAAGGCTGAACCTGATGGAAATGACGGGCATTAGATCATAGGCATTCTATATGGATGGGTATCTTAAAGTGACACTGAACTCGGGAGATTAAAAATGCATTCAAGTAGCTTAACTATTAACATGTTTCTTATTTGTGTATTACTTGGCTGTAGATCCTCAAATCCTCTCTGAATTGGTGCCGACACTGTCCTTCTGGGGGGTGACTACTTTTGTTCCCCATGGTCCCTGTGTGTTGTAAAGTAGTCACCGCTCCAAGCTCACTCCTGTGATGGACTACATTCTTAATACAAATTGGTAATCTTAACATGAGATTGTAGTCCATCACAGGAGTGACTTTGGGTGGTGACTACTTTACAACACACACAGGGACCATGGGGAAGAAAAGTAACCCCCCTCCAGAAGGAAGGACAGTGTCAGCACCAATTCAGAGATGATTAGAGGATCTACAGCTGAGTGAAAGATAAGATACATTATTGTTAATACTTAGGGTACTTGAATACATTTTTAAGATCCAACTCCTGAGTTTAGGTTCACTTTACGATTTCTATGAACCTTTCCTGTTGTGTACTGAAGACATTTTCTCAAATCCCGTAAAATATTTCCCAGCAGTGAAAATGATCCTCGTAAACTTTGAGCAATATCTCAGACCCAGCACTGGTATGCAGCCTTTGAGGCTGATTTTATCATAGGCTTCTGAATCTGGTATTTAAATCCGATTTTTCTTTTTAAAGGCGGAGCTTCTGTATGTTTATATGGATAAACATTTACCTTACAAGTTAACTTCCTGCTTTTTGATATCCATCTTGCATTATGATGTGACATTCATTACTCTTATCACAAGCTGTAAAGCTCTATCAGAGAATATGACCTCTAGAGATATCCAGCCAGCCAATATACCTGATCATTATATTAGCAACCAACACTTGACTTTTTTTTTACTTGATGGCAAGCATAATGTTAACTTCTCATTTTCTTAGATCAGGCCCCAGAGTTCTGCATTGCTTTTGATTTTAATTACCTTGTCCCCTAACACGAGTAACTGTGTACAGTGCTACCATTGTAATTGATATTTATTAGGGATGTTCAGATACCAAGTACCATGCTTGGTACATGTACATATACTTTTCCAGGGTTAGACTAGAGAAAAATTCTAAACTTAGGAGGCAGCTGTCATTTTCAATGAGCATGCGGAGCTCCTGAGATTTGTGCGTCCCTGTTTTAATGCATTCTTTTTTATAACTATATATGAGATGCACCGATACTATTTTTCCAAGTACGGATACTTGTCCAAAGTATTGACAGATACAAGTACTGATACATTTTTGTTTGTCATGTGACAGTTTTTCTAAAACAATACATACTAATGATTTCAGGACAGTGGTGGAGCGCCAGAGCCCGGTCCCAGCTGCAACTCTGGTAGTTCTCGTGAAAATGCCAAGTATCTGCACTGGTATCTGGACATCCCTAATATTTACGCTTTTACCTGAATGGAACAGTATTTTTGTCAAAAATAACTAGTATTGCGCAGCAAAAGATGGCTGTACATACAGCAAGTTGCCTAAAGTCACGTGACTGTAACAGATTGGATATAAGGCTGGATTCACACTGTTGCAATGCATTGTGGTGCACATACAGCTGTGTGGTGCAGTATTGTGCTGTAAAACACACATTACCACACTGCAGTAGTGTGAAAGGCCCCTAAATATTGATGTATGTGTGACTATAATTTGTAAATACGGTGTATATATTGTATTTGCAAGCCCTGTGTATATACTGTTGTACTAGATCTGCTAGGTAACTGACCTGCAGATTTCTTTTATCCTCTTTACAGACTGGACGTGTCTTCAGAGGCTGAAACCAAAGCCAAGCTTTCTTCAGAGTCTTTATCTGATAATTTTTTTGCTGCTTCTTTCTCTGGTGGGCAGGACACTTCTCCTCAGCCTGATGCGCTTGCATTCAGTGGCACTTACACTTCCCACTCCTTTGATAAAGATTCTACCCTTCCTCAGTCCCCCACAGTTGTAAAGACTGACCGCACCAATGAGGGATCTGCAGACTCCTCTGATAATGAGAAGCCTTCACTGCCTGTGTTTTGGAGAGCTGGTAACTCTTCAAACAAACTCCCAGAACCTAAAGAGGTCCATGTCATCACCCCCTTTAGTGAAAAAAACAAAGGAAAGAAAACCTATGTAAAGTCTCTTCTTGAGCAAATTACGGGCAAGTCAACCAGTAGAAATGAAGAAAATGTTATAGATGAAGAACTTGTGAAAGGCATCCTTCCTGTACACCAGACCTTGTCCATCTACGATGAGCCTGAACCGCTTCAAGAAAAAAACGCACATACAGAAGGCGGTGATTTTGCTGACAATCAAAATGGAAAAGTGGCAGCTAAG